TTTGACAGGACACGCACTCCGAGCGTGCCCGCTCGCTTACGGCGTACACCACATTGCCAGCGTTGTTTCCCAGCAGGCTTGTCCAGAGAGTGCCTGCGGTCTACTTCTCAACACATCCCGCAGCACTGAGTGCCCTGTGGCGGTGCCCACTCGAACGGCGAACGGTAGCTCACCTGTCCCTTCTCACCATTGCCTGCTGCGATGGTATCACTCTACCGCTGCCGGTTCTGTGCTCGGGGGCATGGAAGCTGGCCAAGCTTCCGTGCCCGCCTTAGACGCGCCTTCAAATATCTTCCCGCTGACCAGGTACCATTTCGCCTTCACAAGGACACTGGCGAGTACATATTCACCCTCTACATCCTAATTTCTAGTTGGTAGCGGAGCAGATTCACCCCTGCTCCCACCATGGCCGCCATGCCTCGCCTCGCGTCGACCGCAATTGCCCTGGGTTCTAGACATGATCGTAGTTTTTCGTGGTGGCTCCCCCGACAGGTATAACGCACCACAACTGCGAGCAATAGAAAAGTACTTCGGGTGTTACGTTGCACTTAGCTCCCTCGAATGAGCCTGTTATCAACACGCCACACTTCGCATATCGCCTCCTCCTCCTCCTCTCCTCCTCGGGACCGCCATCTTGTCAGAAAGCTCCGCACTTCAGAACAACTGGGCTAAGCTGTCGCGAAAAATCTGCCAGCGGCGGCCCACGTGGCCAAACGCGCGCCACCCGGGGGCAGCATCGCGGCAAAGGCTGAAAAATCGCAAGCGGCACAGAGTAGACCCTTACGTCGACTCGTTGCCGGAGAGTCGGGGTGGGCGAAGGTAGCCCAGCCCCCATGCGTATAAACATGTGAATTACAGGCAAAGGCACAGACCATAGATCTAGACACAGACGTAAAAAACATCGATGTAATCATTGACATGGACATCCGCCAAGGTTGAATATTGACATAGACATGACCTCTCGGAGGTCCGCGCACGTGTATCTTATCTGTACTGGACCCCCCCTCCCTGGCGCGCGGAGCGGAGCGCGCCAGGGGCGGCCCAGGATCCTGGAGGCGGGGGGTCCAGCGCCACGACCTCCGCAAGGCCATGCTCCTGCTGATTCTTTTTCTCGACAGGGGCCCCGGGAGGCACAAAGAAGTAGACACACTTGTTGGCGTCGCGGCCCCGCGCGCGGCATCGGGGCGTAGCAAGCCGAGGCCAAAGCGGGAGAGCCCGAATCGAAAATCAAAGTCTTTCCTTTCACGACGTTTTCCAGAGGCTCCAAGACGCCCCCAGGAGACCCCAACGGGCTCCCAAAAAGCCCGCAAGAGAATCCAGAACAACCCCAAGAGGCCCGAAACAAGGCCCAAGAGGCCGCAAAACGAGCGGGCCGAAAACCACTCTCTCTCTCTCTATCCCTCTCTCCTTCTATATGTATTTTTATACTTTTGGATCCGGCGTGTGAGTATAAAAGAGCCTGCGCTGCAGCTTCAGCTCTGCTGGGGGGGAGCTCCAGCTTACTCCCAGACGGTCCCCTCGCCCAGGAGATTCCCAACACGGGCCAACAAAAAACAAGAGACCGCCGCCCCGACGGTCCAAGAGGGCCTCGAGTCGCCGAAAAATCGCTCCAAGACGCCCAAGATGTCCCCAAGACAGCTCCAGCAGCCTCCACGACGCCCCAAGAAGCCCTCAAGAGGCCTCCAAAGAGGGCCTAAAGAGGCAAATGTTGTCCCGTTTCCTTGACTTGGAAAACTAATACTTTCAGCGTGTTCGCCTCTTGAACCTTCACAGTTTCCAAGACGGCCCAAGAGGGCCCCCAAACAGCCACAGAAAGGCACAAGACGGCCCAAGGCGGCCCAAGACAGCCCCAAGAGGGCCCAAGAGGCGTCCAAGAAGGCTCCAAGACAGCCGAAGAAGAGTTCACGACGGCCCAAGAGGCCCCCAGGAAGCCTCCAGAGACCCCCAAGAGGCCTCAAGATGGCCTCCAGGCCCCCAATAGGATCCCGAAAGACTCCCAAGAAACTCAAGAACTGCCTCCAAGACGCCCCACAAGAGGCCTCCAGATGCCTCCAAGACGCCCCCCTAAAAAGGCAAACGACTGCCTCCAAAATCGTCTAAAACGCTCACGTTTGAACAACCATGTGGCAAAACAATTGGATTTTCAATCTCCACTTATTCCGACGTCTTGGGGGTCCTCCAAGAGCGTCCCCAAAATATTGCGTGCAACAGCTATTTCAGCATTTCATGGTTTTCATGGTGACTCACGCGAGAGCGTCATTTTCGAAGATCCAAAGGTTTCGCAACCGATTTCCACATGTTCATCTACTGAGGATGTCTCGAACGAGGGCTGTATCTTCAGCATACACGGTCATCCATTCCGATCAGCATCGGGAGCGCGTCGGATCGGCGGCACTGGCCGGAGGCCACTACAATAAGTAGACACACTTGTTGGCGTCGCGGCCCCGCGCGCGGCATCGGGGCGTAGCAAACCGAGCGAAAGCAGCGTGACGAATGCGTCAAAATCAATGAGTACACGCACGCACTACCATGCGTTGCTATCTTTCCCTGGGGACCGGCGATCTGTTGTGTCTGTGCCTGTCCTTCCCTCGGGCCTCCGTCATTCCCAGCCTTCTGTTGCTCCCATCGTACTTGAGGGCCACATCCCGGAAACAATTACGAGCACACACAGAAAAGTAGCGACACAGTGTCGAGCGAGTCTCGCCACCGAGGGCCCGCCACGTGAAAACCCTCCAGTTTCTTCAATTTCTTGGTTGATGGGCCTGCTTTCCACCACCGCCACTATGAGTTGGACGGGGGAAGGAGGAGGACGACGACGAGGACGGAAAGGAGGAGGAGAAGGAGGAGGAGACAAGACAAGACAAGACATCGCAGTGGAGCTTCAGGTCGATAACTTCGAGGAATCGATAAGCTCTGCGCGCTGCTTTAGCAGCTTGACCTCGGTCGCAACGCAGGTGGCCTGTCGGGCACCACCGGCGCGGCCCCAAACCAGGCGGCCCCACGACGAGGCGCGCAGCCCAGGGGGTGCCCAGCATAGGGGACCGACTACAAAAACTAGACTCTCTTGCAGTTGCTTGCCTCGTTGCGAGGACGAGGAGGAGGAGGAACGGCACGGGAGGCGGAGGAGGAGAGGAGAGGAGAGTCTACCTGGCCCCTCAGCCTCCTCAGGCCGCCAACGCTGATGACCCAGTCGAGGTCGTCAGTCCTGCCGACGACGCCTATGTCCTCCCACGCTTGCAGTGCGCTGTCCATGATATCCAGGGTCCAGTCCTCCAGGTCGGCGTACGGCGTCTCCGTCCCCTCCCGTGCCATGGAGACCAGCTTATCATATATCATGTCGACGAACTGAAGTTTTTCCAGCATGGTGGGGTTGACGACGCCCTCCAGCTCCCACTGCGTACCCTCGAACTCATCCTTCTCAGACCGCTGGTTCATGTCGAGACCGTCGGCCAAGCCCTCTGCGGGCACGCGTGGAGCGGGCTTGGCTGCCCCCGTTGATGGTGTCGTCCACGTCAGTGGGATGGCACGGACCAGCCCCGCCCCCGCCCTGACCCACAAGAAGTCATCGCAGCCCCCCGTCGCGGTGACACTGCGAGGGCCAGCACATCGATCAGGAACCGAGCAGCGACCAGGTCCAGCAGCAGAATCAGCGCCACGTACTGGGCCAGCGCCACGAACATGTGCACGAACAGCGCCTCCAAGATCCGAGCAACGAGCAAGAACAGCGCCAGTATCGGGTACGGCGTCACCGTCAGGGATGGCGTCACCAGGCCTCCTCTCGTTCGGGATGGTAATCTGGTTGGGCTCGACCCCGTACTTGTCCTGTGCGGACTCGTGCAGGAGGCCGTTCACGTCGATGTTGATGCCCTCCAGCTCCTTCTGCGCGCCCCCGAACGCATCCTTCTCGGACAGCTGGTTCGCGTCGAGCCCATTGTGGGTAGCCTTCGCTGCCTCCTCAATCATCTCCTGCTCCTCGTCCTCGGACTCCTGCCACTTGGTGCCGCCAACGTCCTCGAACGAGCCCTCGTTCTCCTCCACGCTCTCCTCAACGTTCTCCAACATGCCGTAGTGCATTGTGCGCGCCATGTGCAGCCGTAGCCTCCGATCCGCGCGGCGACGCGCATCGGAACGGCCCGGAGAGGGGTGCCACAGCCCAGGCGGGGCGGGCACACGCATCGTGCGGTCGCGCGCGAGAGTCAAGAGAATGCCATTCTGCCGAACTGCAGTCGGCGCCATCTGCTGGCGACTGGCGGACGCCGAGGCCATCGCAAACGCAACGGGCTGTGCGGCGCTGGTGTGTTGAGAGCCCCCCGCTCATCGTGGCAAACGCTCGAGCGAAGAGGGGCTAGATGGAGGAGGAGGAGGAGGAAGAGGAGGAGGAGGAGGAGGAGGAGGAGGAGGAGGACCCCCTCCCCCTCCAACTTATGGTGGTGGTGGTGGTGCAAAACAGGCCCATCATTCGTGCTCGAAGCTCTTTCTGGCGATCAAGGCTAACGTAGGTTGGAACACCCTGATCCCGGACCTTCCCTTATGTCGGGCGTGTCCCCCCTCAAAGTAGTCCCCAGACTATTTTTGGAGTATTTTGGATTATTTGTTGGGTATCTTTAAGTCGAAAATCCCCCTGTAGGGGGACACGCCCGACTTAGACCTTCCCTGGGCCCACTGGCGCACGAAGGGTGCGCGTCGTCGGAGCCCGGAGGGCGGCGGGGCACCTGGGCGGGCCCGAGGCCGGCGAGCGCTCGGGACAGCTGCGATATGGGCCCCTTCGCCCGCCTCCGTGGCCTCCTCCTCAGGAGGAGGAGGAGGAGGAGGAGGAGGAGGAGGAGGAGGAAGAGGAGAAAAAGGAGGAGGCGGAGAAGGAAGAAAAAGACCTCCTCCTTGGCCCCATCCTCCTCTCCAGTCTCCTTCAGCTCCCTCTCGCTCCTTCTCGTCAGCGCCGTCCTCCTCCTGCGCATCCCCCTGCTCCTCATCCTTCTCATGCTCATCCTGGTCCTGCTGGCGGGGAGAGGAGCTGAGGGAGGAGAAGGAGGAGGAGCAGCAGAACCAGTGCACAGGAAATCGAAGGGGGGGATTGGTAATTTGGAGCAGCAGCAACAGAGGAGCTGCCCAATGCCGCGCGCTCGTGACTCGCGGTGCAAGAGATGCCGGTCTCGCAAACGGGTAAGGAGGCCAGGCCACCTGCCCTCCTCCAGGAGCTGGAGGAGCAGCGCCAGGAGCAGCAGGACGGGGGGGGAGTTGGAGGCTGGGAAATGGGCACCAACACCAGTTGCCTCCACCAGGGGAAGATGAGGCTAAATGGTGATGTTGGTGGTGATATTTTTGAGCCACCGAGGAACCCCGAAGATTACCCACCAGCACCGAGATTGGGATCATCTTCTCTCGGTGGAGGCACACCGCCAATATTGGTGTCGGTGCTAATCTCTACGCCTCCGAGAAAGGGCCCTCGCCAACTTTCTCATATTTCCTACTGCCTTCCCTGTCTCGACCCGCTCCACGCTTCACGTCACTCAAGCCCCCATCAGGACAGAATCGCTACTGAAAGAGATGTTCTGGGAGACCTTCGCCATGAGGACCGCTGACTTGGCCCATTCTCCTGCCTGACCCAGGGGGGGGGCAGCGGGCGCGGCGAGAGGCTGGAAGTGGACATTCTGGAAGACGAGGAGAGGAAGACGAGAACCCGTGGAGCCTGGGTAGAATTGAGACAAGACGTGAGAGGGGCGGCGCGAGTAGCGAGCGCAAGACTCCCAGGGGCACACTTGTGTCACTTCTGTCCAGAGCCTCGCGTGCATTCCTCCTGCTGTACTGGCTCATCCCGTGCTGGAGGCCTCACAGCTCGGGCAAGAGCCAATTGTGTCGGAGGATAGCGCCGCACCTGCGATGCACTCCGGCCCCATCTGGGAGGACTGGACATGCGCAATCCTCGATATCCTTGGAGAGGTAGTTTGTTGACCACCACGTTCGTTCCGCACTGCCAGGGCAAGGCAAGCCCCAGAGCAGAGCTGGCCAGCAGGAGGGCGTCCAGCTGTAAACTGCTTGCTTGGACAGCACAGGTGGTGAATTCAAGCGACACTGGACGAACAAGCCCATCCCTTATGTAGAATATTTGGAAATCCTCGTCTGTCCAATCGCGCCAACAATCCGCGTCGCATCTATGTAGGATCCATGCCGAATGCGTCGAGTCCGTGTCGAAACCGTGTCGAAACCGTGTCGAACACACGTCGAATCTGCGTAGAACCCACCTCGGAGTAAAGAAGATACTAACATCTGCAGGACAGAAACAGCCCCTGAAGAGGCAAAGCAACATCCCGCCACCCCCACCGAGGCAACATTGGCCCCGCCGGCCGACGACTCCCCCATAGGGTGGGGGGTGGGTGCCGTCTCGTCTCGGAGACCCGCGCAGGTTTCTCGGGTCGGCGCTGAACTCCCCCCTTCCTGGCGCGCGGAACGCACCAGGGACGGTGCCAGAGGCGCTGCCAGGGCGTCCAGCGCCGATCCAGGAAGTCCGCGTGGACCTTCGGAAGATGCCGTTTATGGATCTGTTTCTCCAACTGCGGTGATGGGCCCGACCTCGTGCTGAAGCAGTACCAGCCCGCCCCGAACACAGCCCGCGCGCGCAGGAACTTCAGCTGGAGGCGCCAGCGCGGAGACCCATCGCTCCGATGCTGCAGCTACCGGCACTTCTCATCAAGACCAAGCGTTCATCACAACACGCTCAGCTCACCAAAGAGCACACATGAAAAATCCCACCAGCCCTTTAGGGCGTGCGTGGTTTAGGGCGTTTCCTCTTCCAGCCCACCTTCTGTCCCTTCGGGGAGGGGTTTAGATCACTGCTCTCTATTAGTAAATACTCCCTCCCCCAGGCGACCGGCAGCCAACCAGGACCAATGAGGACCTTCCTCTACCATCCCTTTCAAACAAAAACAATGTGACATCCACTTTGAGGCAAAATAGTAGGTCATAATCGGGTGGGGCGCGAGCGCGTCGTATGGTTTGTTGACAGGGACGGCGGGGGTGCCCGCGTGTTGCCTGCCGTGCGCAGGGCCAGCCCCCCTGTCAAGCAACAAAACAACATTCTCTTCGAGGCAAGATCTGGATCGTGCGCGGGCACCCTGCCATCTCTGTACATTGGTTTTTGACTGGGACGGCGGGGGGGCTGGCATATTGATATTGCCTGCTGTGTGCAGGCCCACCAGGCACTATGATGGCCACCCCGCCGCGATTGCGAACCGGTTTTCGACGAGGGTGGTCGGGGCCGACACGTTTCCCAACGTGTGCTGCTGCGTGCGCTGGCGCACCTGTCACACTCTGCGCGCACCCCGAATGTGGCGCGCACGGCGCACGTGGATCACGTGGCGCATCTGGCGCGCCAGGCGTGCCTGGCACGGTTGAGCCACAGGGGTGCCTGGCGCACCTGGTGCGCGTGGCTCGCCTGGCATGCGCGGCGCAGCTCGCCCCAGCGTTGCGGAGATGGGTCCTGTTGTGTGTTTCCCATTACTGCCCATCCAAAGATGACCGCTGACCATGCTGCGGCCTGGGTGCTACTCATGTGTTGGGAAAGCGGGTCGGAGTGAGCGAGACGGCTTGCGGGCGGGGAGGTTGTCTTGACCCCATCCACGTACCCCCTCCCCCGTGGCTCGTTCGAGCGGCCAGAACGGCCTCGGCGAGGAAGCCAACATCGTTAAATCGCTCTAACACCCCCTGGATTAAAAAGTGGTGATCGGCACTATGCGAAGGACAAACCCCTGGGTCTTCGCCAATCGATAAAACCTCAAGCTTCGACCTTCGATCGATCCCAAGATGACTCCCAGACAGACCCGTCACCCGAAAGGAGGAACGGCGCCACAAGGGTGGACGAGACGCGTGGTCGTTACGACAGCCCAAACGAAATCGCCACTCTCTGGCGGCGTGAAAAGCGGCCAGAAAATACTTTGTGAGGAATTCTCAGGCGACATCGCCACTCTCGAGCGGCATGAAGATCGATATGATTTGTTTCCGAGGAAGTCCCACGCGAAATCGCATTTTTCAGATGTCATGGCAATTTATCAGATCGCCCTGGAAGGCGATCTTAAATTTTGTGTTGAGGATGTCTCGGGCGGAATCGCACTTTCAGACGCTGACCTCATGTGGCCGTTATAATATTAAAAGGGGTGAGAGATGCACGTGAAATTACCAAATCGGCCTCAACTCCAACATTGTCCATGGGCCCCGCGGCCTAACGGGAGGCCAACCGTATCTTTCTCGATTTCCACGGTCTTCACTTTTTAATCCAGCGGGTTATAAGTTTTAGCAACATGTTGGCCTCCTGGGGGGGAGGGAAAGGGGGCGTAATTGGAACTTCCCGCTTCTTTGATCGATCACCTCCAAGATGGCTCCAAGATGGCCACCGAGGCTCCCAAGGGTGCCCCAAGACGGCCCCAAGAGGTGCCCAGGAGGCCCCAAGAGGCGCCCAAGATGTCCACCCCAAGGGGCCCCAAGAGGTCCCTCGAAGGCATCCAAAGACGCCCCCCAAGAGGCCTCGGCGAGAAGGTCACAATCACTGATGGTACGAAAAAGTGTTGGCTACATGTAGGCCGCCAGGGGGGAGCCTAGAGCCCCCCTCATTTGATCGATCTCTTCCAACAGGGCCCCAAGATGGCCCCCGAGGCCCCTAAGAGTGCCCAAAGAGGACCCCTAGAGGTGCCCAGGAGGCCCCACGAGTCCCCCACGATGCCCCCAAGATGGCCCCACGATGCCCCCAAGATGACCCCAGGAGGCTTGAAGTGGCTTCCCCCGGAGGCTCCAAAGACGCCTCAGAAGGTCCCCAGGACTGCCAAGAGACCCCCAAGGCGCCCAAAGATGACCCCAAGAAACTCTCGAAAGAAATCCGAAGAGACTCCGAGAGGCATCCCAGAGGCCTCTGGGATCATTCTGCTCGCCCTCCTCCTCCTCCTCCTCCTCCTCCTCCTCCTCCGCCTATTCCTCCTCTTCCGCATCAGCCTGCTACTCCTCTTCCTCTTCCCTCCTCCCCCTCCCCCATCCCTACTCCTCCTCCTGCTCCTCCTCCGATTACTCATCCATCCTCCCCCTCTTGGGGTACGACTTCTTAGCCAGCCCTTATTCCACTGCATTCTCCTCCACATCCCTGATCAGAGCAACTCGTCTGGGCATCGTTTCTGGATGGGCTGGTGGGGTTGCCCGAAGCGACAAGCATTTGGAGAACAAACGCCACACACAGACGCCCCAGCATGTCGTCGCATTGGATAGCTGCGGAGCGCTCTCAGTCGTGCACACAATAAACTACACATGTTGTCTTACAGCATTGCCCAGACACCGCGCTTCGTCGTACTCTTACCGCTTTACTATTGCACTTGCATGTGCTCTCATTGACGTCAACGACTACTCTCACGCTCAGGACAACTCAGCCTAGCGTGCCCGGCAGGGAGTTCGCGAAATGCGCCGCGGAAAGCTCAACCATTAAAACAACCACAAGTGTCGCCAAACGTTCCGCCACCAATGCCGCCAAAGTTCCCGCCAGGCCAATCATGAGCAGAGCGGTCAGTACACGACTTTGCGACGTTCTCGTGGCTGTCTGTGCATCAGACAACTACGGCAGTTGTTACTGATCTATTTGGCGCGCTTTTCTCCCCAGTAGTGTCACGCTGGAGAGTTCGAATCCGCCGACCCTGTTGGCATGTCTGTTATTTGTTTGAATCGTCCTCGTAGTCGTCGCCGCTCCTCCTCAAGTGCTCCAGCCAGAGGGAATCGAGCAGCGTCGTCATCGTGGAGGAGGAGGAGGAGGAGGAGGAGGAGGAGGAGGAGGAGGAGGAGGAAAGGAGGAGGAGGGGACGCCCCTTTCCCTTGATCCCTCCCCCGCCGAGGAGGGTGAGGGGGGGGTTCCCAGGGGGGGGCCCTGGGGTGTCCCAGGGGGGGCCCTGGGGGTTGTTACCCTCCCCCTCGGGGGAGGGCACCCCTCCCTGGGAGAAGCTTTCGGCTCCAGAACGTCAGCTACGTCATCGTCGTCGTCGTCGTCGTCGTCGTCGTCGTCGTCGTCGACGCCGTCGCCGTCGCCGTCGCCGTCGCCGTCGTCGACCCTTTCAAGGTCGGCGGCACCAGCCTTAGACCCAGTAGACCGCCCAGTGCGGCAGCCGATCCAGCAGCCGTTTCGCTGAGACATCCTCACACGTTATTCCGAAATCGTGCTCTGGCCTCAAGGCCGGCTACACTGCAACCACGAGCCTTTGCAAAAAAATACTAAGCCGCACGTGGCCGTGTTTGTCCCGGCTGCTGCTTTTTCGGGGGGGGAATCCTCAAGTATACCGCGGAACAGAAACTTTCACCAACCGACCTCCTCCTCCACCCGCCTTCTTCACCCTGCCTGCCGCCTCTTCACCCTGCCTGCCCAAGCACGACAGCGGCCGCTGTTGGGCAGGCGAGCTTGTGTCTCAGATGGGCAACGACAGCAGCGACGGCGACAGCGAATCCCTTTCCAGAATGAAGAAGAACTGCTGTCGGACTGTGTACACGTCGTTCATATATAATCGGATCGTGCTCGTTTTTAATGGTGCTCGTTTCTAATTGTTCCTGACCCCCGAGTGGCCAGGAAGAGGCCCCGGATAGCACAACTAGAAATAAGGGGATCCTGGCATCAAAAAAACAAAAGCACCTTCGAAGAATTAGAAATGGGCCATGTGTACACGTGTCTGCCCCTCTCCTCGTCCGCCTCTCCCTGCTCGCTTCCTCACAGACTCGGTCGGCTCTGGCAGGGCGGGGGGCCCGAGACGCGCCGCCTCCTCGGAATGCCGGCCCTGGCAGGGCAACGATCCCCAAGACAGGCCGATCTCTGGACGGGCGCCTGGAGTTTTACAGTCGGACTCGATTGGACAGGACACGCGAGAGGACACAAGACCCTTCCGAGGGCCACATTGCCACAGGAAGGTAGGGAGTATGGGTCGTGAGACACAGGGCACAAGGGTACCCTTGATTTGGCAGGGTCGACCTGCTAATCTGGGCCGACTGTAGCAAACAACCGCCTGCCCCCCAATGGGCCTGTCCGTGCGTCTGTTTCTCTGGACAGGGGTTCGAAACTTATCTGATACACCATTGCGCTCCCTCACGGAACCCTGGATTCTCCTAGTTTCCCCCCCCCCCCCCCCCTTTGCCCGTGCAGTAACCCACAGAAGTCTTTAGAAATCCCCTGGCCAGTAGATAGAACATAAACATCATTCGGGCGAATTTATTGACAACTAGAACCACGCGCGCTTCGCGCGCGCTTAGGTTCTGTCGAGTCACAGACCCAGGGGCTCTCTTGGGCCGCCTTTGGAGCCTCTTGGGGCGTCCTGGGTCTCTCGTGGGGGCTTCTTGGAGCTCTCTTGGCGCCTCCTGGAGCCTCTTGGGGCCGAAAGCTCGGAATTCTACAGTGGCTTTCTCCCTCTGGAACCCTCTCGGGCACGCCTTGGGGCTCTCTTAGGCCATTTTGGAATCCAATTTTGCCGTCCTGGGCGCCTCGTGAACCGTCTTGGAACTCTCTTGGGGGCCACCTAGGCCATCTTGGGAGCCTCTTCGGACGTGTTGGACGCGGCGAAAACCCCACAGGCGACCATGCGAAAAGTATACGTTTTCCCATGGGAATGGAACAATTTTTGCTTCTTGGACCTCTCTTGGGGTGCCTCTCGGAACGTCTTGGGCTGATTTTGGAAGCCTTTTGGCGCCTCTGGGCGGCGTTTTGGCGCCTCCTGGGATATTTTGGGCCGGAAGCTCGGAATTCGAGAGTGGCTTTCTCCTTCTGGGACCCCTCTCGAAATCGTCTTGGGGTTCTCTTGGGCCGTCTTGGGGCCGTCCTGAGCCACTCGCGCGCAGCCTTGGAGCGCTCCCGGAGGCCTCCTAGGCCGTCTTGGAGGCCTCTTGGGCCGTCTTGGACGCGGTGAAAGCCCAAGATGCGAACATGCGAAAAATATACGTTTTCCCATAGGAATGACACGATTTTTGTTTCTTGGACCTCTCTTGGGGTGCCTCTCGGAACGTCTTGGGGTGCTTTTGGGAGCCTTTTGGCGCCTCTTGGCGGCATTTTGGCGCCTCCTGGAGCCTCTTGGGCCGGAAGCTCGGAATTCGAGGTTGGCTTTCTCCGTCTGGGACCCCTCTCGAACTCGTCTTGGGGCTCTCTTCGGCCGTCTTGGGGCCGTCCTGGGCCACTCGTGCGCAGCCTTGGAGCGCTCCCGGAGGCCTCGTAGACCGTCTTGGGCGCCTCTTGGGCCGTCTTGGACGCGGTGAAAGCCCAAGAGGCGAACATGCGAAAAATATACGTTTTCCCATAGGAATGGCACGATTTTTGCTTCTTGGGCCTCTCTTGGGCTGCCTCTCGGAGCGTCTTGGAGGCTTCTGGGACCTTCTTGGTGTCATGACAGGCGTCTTGGAAGGCATCTGGAGCCATCGGAGCGCGTTCCGAAGCCGCCTGCGAACGATCTTGGACGGCGTCTGGCGGTCTGACGAGCCTCCGGGCCCCCCGGGGCCCACATTTGTGGTCGAGGTCCCGGCCCCAGGCCCCCGGACCCGGTGCGCCGTTATATGTATACTCGGAAAAACGACCCCGCCAGACAATAGCGGAAAATAATTATAGTTCGGGCGGTCCGACGACGAAGACGAAGACGAAGACGATAACGAGTACGTGTGCGATTGCGACTACGACAGCGCTGCGACGACGAAGACGAAGACGCATGTGCGCGGCGCTAAGGCGAGAGCTGCACTTTGAGGAGGAGAGGTTTCGGGAGCGGACGAGTTTCGGGACGAGTTTATTCACCGCCGAGAGCTCCAGGGGGGGGGGGGAGAGCAGAACTAAAGACTTCCTCAGGTTATTCTGGAGATTGCGCGTGCTATGGTGCGAAGCTTCTTTCTCGCCCGCGGACCAACGGGCGTCTGGCTTTTTGACTCTGGGCAACCGGACACTGCGATTCATCCGAAGACTGCGTAAACAGAGACTTGCAAAGGTCGTTGCGGGATTCTTGGGTCGGCGCTGGGCCCCCCTGCTCGGCACGGCGGGTCCAGAGCAGGTCCAAGAAATCCGCGCCGGCCTCCAACAATTCTTCTTTCTGTTGCTGCTTTCCGATTCGAAGGAGCCTGTTCCGGGTATGGGCCTGTTTGGCGCGCTGCATGCGCGGTCCCGGAACACGCTGCAGCCGATGATCCAGGTCAACTTCCCTGTGCCAGAAATCTGCTGCACCGAGAACACACTCGGCAGAACTGGGGAGAAGGTGCCATCTGGGAAAAACGTGTACGCAAACAGGAGGGGCGAAGAGGTGGTGATCGTGACTGCGCCCTGCCCTGACCACCTGGGGTTCTGATGTCCCTCACCCGACCTACACGTCGTTCATTTCTAATCGTGCTCATTTCAAATTGTGCTCGTTTCTACTTGATCCTGGCCCCCTAGTGGCCAGGAAGAGGCCCAGGATAGAACAATTAGAAATGAAAGGATATTGGCCCCCCAAAGAATCAAAGAACTTTCGAATACTTAGAAATGAACAATGTGTAGTCCTCCCTTTTCGCCTGCACGTGGGAGCGGCCCCACGCAAGAGTAGCCTTTGCTGGGCGGCTCTGCGGGCGCGTGGGGGCAGGGACCAACCAACGCCTGCAAGCCGAGGCCATCGCACGGCGCTCAGCAATGGGTGGGCCCTGGCAGGCACGCACCGCAAGTCACTCCGCGGAAGGGCCACTCTGAAGTGCAGTCGATCGAGAGGAGGGAAAAAGCTGCATGAGCATAGACGTTCGGAGCTCCGCGCGGATTCTCGGATTGACGCAGGGACTCTCCGGCGGTTGGCCCCCCTCCCTGGCGCGCGGAGCGCGCCAGTGGCGGCGCGAGAGGCGCCGCCAGGGGGGCCCAGCGCCGATCCGAGAACTCTGCGCGGAGCTCCGAAAGTCTTTGTTTATGCAGCTTCCTCCTCCTCGGCGACCTTCCTGGGCCGTGCGCCTGGTTCATCGCCCCGTGCGTGCGCTCCATCGCCTGCTCCTCGGAGGAGCACATGACCACACCGTTGATGATCGGGACGTCCTGCTCTGCACGGGGGCGCCGCAGCCGCGCGGCCACCCACGCGACGCCGGGTCCGCAGAGGAGCAAAGTCGCTTAAAAGTCCTCGCCATCCAAGACCCCTGCCCCTCCGCCTCCCCCCGCCATCTCCCCTTCCTCGCCCTCCTAACCATCCCAACTCCTCCAGAAATATTCAGAGAAACTGAGGGCATCCTCAAGATCCGCATCCAGATCAGGTAACGCCAATCATAGGGATGGGGATGTGTGCCAGGCTGGTGATTGCAAAGCTCACATCCCCTCGCGGGGTGGGCTACAGTCAACCCGTATAAGAAGGATGCGCGATAAGGATGCAAGGGCCCTGGAAGCCCATTTCGAAGGTTTTCGAGCGGAGCGCGGCCAACGAAAGTGGCCAGGGATGGACCGAGGAGGCGAGGCTGCGAGGGGGGCACCCTTGGGAAAGCTGCCCATCCTCCTTACTAGGCGGGTTGACTCTAATAGCGGATAACAAAACGCCGCGAGCTCCGACCTCCACCCACCCACCACGTGATCGCCGCCGGCACAGACATCGGTGCCGCAGACCCGCCCCCCACCCCCTTGTGCTCGACGGCGCGGCGGCCAGGCAACCGCGGAGGCCCCAACAAAGTACGATCGGGAAGGCGTGTCCTCCTGGCGCTCGCAGGTCCTCCCCCGCCTTCGGCAGCGAGCAAAGGGGGGAAATGAGAAGGAGAAGGCCTTCTCAGAAGGCGGCGGGACTTCTCAGAAACCCTCGCGCCTTCTGAGAAGTTTTCTGCGTCTTCGAGAAAGGCTTCGAAAACTTCTCAGAAGGCCGGGGGACTTCCGAGCCTTCTGGGAAGCCCCGCCCCCTCTCACTTCCCCCCGGGCTCGCCCCCGACTCCTCCCTCTCCTCCACCGGAGCCCCTCCCCGGGCACATCTCTCCCTCGCCATCTGCGGCCGACGCCCAGGATGGGGCTGCAGGCGGAGACAACGGCGGCTCCCCCTCCTGGCCCGGGGTCCGCCTAAGAAGGTCGGTCCCCCGACGCCCGAGAAGGGCCCATCCTGGCCCGTTTTCGTTCAAGGCGGACCCCGTCCTCGGCCTCAGACATCTCCATTTCTTCCATGTGCCGGACCCCCAAAACATCCCGATCCTGTCCAAGGGGAGGTCTTTATCAGATTCCCAATCGTGCTCATTTCTAATTGTGCTCGTTTCTAATGTTCCTGGCCCCCTAGTGGCCAGGAAGAGGCCCAGGATGGAACAATTAGAAATGAAAGGATCTTGGCCCCCCAAAACATCAAAGAACCTTTGAAGAATTAGGAATGAATAGTGTGTAATTGTAATAATTCTTTCACGGCCCCCGAGCCTGGCGAGGGCCCCCAGGAGGTCGAAAACGGGCTCCCGTCGTTCTTGTGCTCGCGACGCAAGCGCGTCCGGGGATCCAGCCGTGGCGACGCAGGAGCCTTCAGGAAAATCCGCCAGGGAGGGCCGCCGCTGTCCCGACTGGCTGCCACCTCGGAGCTGGGGGCGACGTGTGGTGGGCCTGCTGGGCGTTCAGGCGCGCGAGGCCCAGCGAGATCCCCTGGCACATCTTCGCGTGGGCGTCGCTCTCGCCACGGATGAGCACCTGCGCTCCATCGCGGCGCATGGGCTCGTCAGGTGAGAGCCGCACGCACATGCATATATACGTGGATCTATGTGTATATATATATATATGTGTGTATACGTACCTTCATTTACTCACATACATACAAGCATACACACATACATACATACATACATACATACATACATACATACATACATACATACATACATACAAACATACATACATACATACATGCATGCATGCATGCATGCATGCATGCATGCATGTATACATATATATATGTATGTAATGTGCATATATGTGTGCATGCATGCATACTCACATACATGCATACATACATACCTACATGCATGCATGCATGCATGCATACATACATGCATACATACATACACACATACATGTGCATGTACAAACACATGCATGTCTATATAATCATATACATATACATACACGTGCACACAAGCATGGACACACCAATGTGTATGCATGTATGTGTGTATGCTTGCATGCATGCATGTATGTATGTATGCATATATGTATGCATGTATGTATGCATGTATGCATGTATGCACGCATGCATGCATGTATGTATGTATGTATGTATGTATGTATGCATGTACGTATGTATGACTTACGTTTGTATGTATGCATGTATGTATGTATGTATGTGTATGTATGTATGTATGCCTGTGATTGTGTGTACGTATGTATGTATGTATGTATGTGTGTATGTATGTATGTATGTATGTATGCATGCATGCATGTATGTATGTATGTATGTATGTATGTATGTATGTATGTATGTATGCATGCATGCATGCATGCATGCATGCATGCATGCATGTATGTATGTATGTATGTATGTATGTGTGGATGGATGGATGGATGGATGGATGGATGGATGGATGCATGTATGCATGTATGTATGTATGTATGCATGTACGCATGTACGTGTGTATATTCCCTTGCGTATATATTTTACAGTCCGGGCGGAACACGAAAGGGGTCACCCCCGCCATAAAAAAAACGGACTCCCGGGATCTGGGGCTTTGGAACCCTCTGGACGGGCCTCGCAGGGCGTTTGGCCAAGCCTTCCCAGCACATCTAAGGCGATCAGGGGAGTCATCGGAGACGTCCCAGAGACCCCCAAAACAGCACAAGAGCGCTCCAAGAGTGACCGACGTGACCTCCAAATGGTCCAAGAGGCCTCCAGGACGATCCCAAAGAGGCCTCCAAGAGCACTCCCAAGAAGGCCCCAAGAGGCAAAAATCATTGATTTTCTGGCGGGTTTTGGTGAATTTGGGGGGTTCTTCTCTTTTCGGCTTCCCCACGCTCCAGGACGGCGGTCTTCTGGGCGTCCGAAGCCGCCTGGGAGGCTCCAAAATCGCCCCACAACCATCCGAAAAGGCTCCCTCCCGGCAGTCCAAGAGAGCCCCAAAACGGCACAACACGGGTCCAAGATGGCCCTCAGAGAGCCCCATGGCGGCCCAAGGTGGCCCCAAAACACCCTCCGAAGCATTCCAAATCGTGACCCGGTCGTTCAGGGAGACCGCGGTTGGAGGCAGGGTGCCCCGAGGAAGCCCCCAGAGGCCCCCAGAATACGCCCAGGAGGCCTGCAGAATGCCTTAAGAAAGCCCGAAACAACTTTTGTGAGGCCCCCAGAGGCTCTCCAAGGAGGAGCCTCCGCAAAAAAGAGCTGCGGAGGATGGGGAGAATGCGCAGGGTATGGCGAAAATGAAGAAAAAGAAACATGGAGGAAAGATAACTCATAACATTATTGTAGCGGCGATGCCGGAAAAGGCAACAAAGACTTATCGCTAAATTGTCGGCTTGATCTTCCTGCTATTCCGCTTGCACACCAAACTTCAAGGACCAAGGTGCATGGCGCGAAGCGCCAATGCAGTCTTGCGTCTTTATATATATATATATATATATATATATATATATATATATATATATGTACACAGATGTATGCGCACATGTTCTCTTTCATAATGTTTGATAATACGGACCCTGCGGACCCCCCCCTCCGAAACGGGACGCCCCGGATCCATGGCCCTGGGACGCGCCCGCAGGAGGCCCACCAAGCTTTTCAGAGCTCCTGGAAGTCCCTGCTGGTGCTGGGCCTGGGCAACGGACCCAAATCGGTCAGGAGGGCGGCCGAACGTTCCCCCGAGGGCTCCAAGAGGCCCCAGACACCCACCAGACGCCCGAAAACGACCCACAGAAGACCTCCAAGAGGCTTTCAAGTGCAAAAATATTGACCTTCCTGTTTCTATGATTTTGACAATGCCCTGCTCGCCCGTCTTCTGGGCGTCCGAAACCGCCCGGGAGGGGCGAAAATCGGCCCAAAACCATCCGAAAGGGCTTCCACGCAGCCCAAGAAGAGCTCCCAAACGGCACAACAGTGTTCCAAAATGACCAGAAGAGAACCCCGTGACGGTCAAAGATGGCCCCAAGACGTCCCCCGAAGCTTTCCAAATCGTGACCGGTCGTTGGGGGAGACCACGGTTGCAAGCAAGGCGGCCCGAGGAAGCCCCCGGAGCCCCCAGAAAGCGCCCAGGAGGCCTTCCGAAGGCCTTCAGGAAGTCTGAAACACTTCCGCGCGGCCCCAAGAAGCTCTCCCAGGGGGGGGGGCCTCCGCAAAAAGAGCAGCGGGGAAGAATTCGCAGGGTAGGGCGAGAATGAGAAAAAGGAAACGTGGAGGAAGGAAATATAATTAATGGCTTGAGTATAGCGGCGATGTCCGAAAAACGGCAACAATGAGTTCTCGAAGAATTATCGTTTTTCCCTTCCTGCCCTTCCGCCTGTTGGCCAAACTTCGACGGCCAAGGAGCATGGCGCGAAGCGCCAATGCAGTCTTTGTGTGTATATATACACACAAGACTGCAGGGGCGCTTCGCGCCATGCACCTTGGTCCTTGAAGTTTGGTATGCAGGCGGAAATGGCAGGCAGGCCAAACCGACAATTTAGCGATAACACCTTGCTGCCTTTTCTGGCATCGCCGTTATTAATGTTGTTCGTTATCTTTCCTCCATGCTTCTTTTTCTTCATTTTCGCCATACCCTGCGCATTCTCCCCATCCTCCGCAGCTCTTTTTTGCGGAGGCTCCTCCTTGGAGAGCCTCTGGGGGCCTCACCAAAGTTCTCAGGTTTTCTTAAAGCCTTCTGGAGGCCTCTTGGGTGTGTTCTGGGGGCCTCTGGGGGCTTCCTAAGACCAACCTGCATCTAACCACGGTCTCCCTGAACGCCCCAGTCACGATTTGGAATGCTTCGGCGGGCGTCTTGGGGCCATCTTGGGCCGCCATGGTGCTCTCCTAGGGCCATTTTGGACCCCTGTTGTGCCGTTTTGGGGCTCTCTTGGACTGCCTGGAAGCCCTTTCGGATGGTTGTGGGGCGATTTTGGAGCCTCCCAGGCTGCTTCGGACGCCTAGGAGACCGCCGTCTTGGAGCGTCGGGAAGCCGAAAAGAGAACCCCAAATGCACCAACAACCTACATAGAATCAATGTTTTTGTTCCCTCTTGGGGCCTTCTTGGGGGTGCTTTTGGTACGCTTTGGAGCGATCTTTCGGGGTATGACGGCTTCTTGGAGCGCTCTTGTGCTGTCTTGGGGGTCTCTGGGACGTCTCCGGTGACCCCCCTGATCGCCCTGGGTGTGCCGCGAAGGCTTGGCAAAACGCCCTGCGAGGCCCAGGGGGCCGCTTCGAGGCCCGTCGGGAGGGTCCCAAAGCTCCAGATCCCGGGGGTCCGGTTGTAGGGGAGGGGTGATGGGTTTTCCCCCCGCCCGGGCTTATAAAAATATGGGAAGAGGAGAATATATATATATATATATATATATATATATACATATATATATACACATATATATATATACATATATGTGTGTATACACAAAATTGTGTTGGCTCGCTTCGCTTCGCCACAATAGCTTGTCCCTCACCCTCGTCACGCTCGTCCTTGGTGCAGGCATGCGGATATGGTATCTCGCTCTGCTATGTGGAAGACGGGTTGTGATGTGCTCGTGGACTTCATGGTTTTAGGTGTGCAAATATGATGTGTTTGCGAGCTTGGCAGCCTTGGGAAGAGAGAGACGTTGTGGTTGCAGGGCGGATCACGGAGGGCAATTGTGTTGGTGGTGGTGCTCGTGCCCGTGCTGGCGTTCGTGTTGGAAACAGTGCCGGTGAGTGTGCTGGTGGCCGTGCTCCTGGTCATGGTGTTGGTTGTGGTGATGGCGCTGGTCGTGCTGGTGGTCGCGCTGGTGGTTGTGCTTGTGTTCGTGCTGGTGGTCGTGCGGGCGGTTGTTCTGGTGCTGATGCTGGTGGTGCTGGCGGTCGGGCTGGTGGTCGCGCTGCGGTCTGGTTAGTTTTCGTTGCTTCTGTCGTGCTGGTGGCCATGCTGGTGGCCGTGCTGGTGGTCGCGCTGGAGGTGGCGCCCGCGGTCGTGCTGGTGGTCGCGCTGGCGGTCGCGCTCGTAGCCGTGCCGGAACAGGGGCCCTGGTCGTGCTGATAGCTGAGGGGCCGTCGTGGGTGTGGTTTTCGCAAGGAATGAACATGCCCAGGGGCGCGGGCGCTGGGGATGAGAAGAAGTGCTCGAATGTGACAGCCCACCTGCAGCCGCTGCAGCAAAACGTGGGCGTTTCGGTCGGGAAAAAAGGAGAGGCCGCGCAATGCGGGCAACTTCGGCTCATGTCTCTGCCGGAGAACGGCACGTCTTCAAACGGCGGTTGACCCATGACGCTGCACTCACGACAAACGCTGTCTGCGGTCGCAGGCGGACGCTTCCATTGCAAGGAGAACCCGCAACGAACGCAACGCACTTCTGGTCGGCGCCGGCACATGCCGGATGTTTGCGGCGCAGCGGCAGCGCAAGCGATGCGCGCGCAGGCGGCTCGGTTGCGTTGGCGGACTGCGAAGTCTACGCGCGGGACGTCCTGGCAGCAGCTAGTGCAATGCAGCGCGTCTGCGCTGGGACGTCCGCGAGAGGCTGGCCTTTTGTACGCGGCGGAGGAGTCAGCATCGC